GATACAATTACATAAAATAAGTAGACTAGGTAACCAGTGTTATAGAGAAAAGTAAAGGAAGGCGAGAGAGACTGGGGTGCCAGAGGAGGGGCAGAATGTAGTTGGCAGGGAGAATTCATTAAGAAAGTGGGAAATGATCCCAGATTTGAAGAAGGAGAAGAGATTAGCGGAGAGAAACTTCCCCTCAAAGCCACCTGGGACAAGCAACGCAAAAGCTGTGGGTCTTTATTTCTTCATTGCTATGATGGGATATTGATCTAGATGATCTATGCTTGTTCTTTTAAGTTCTTAAATCCCATACGCGATGATTTAATTTATGCCAACCATTACAGAATGGAAGCAGTCATATAATGTCATCTAGCCCACACCGTGTGTCCTGTGTCACTAAATGCTGTGACTGCCACAGGATTTCAGAAGTTCTCACCATGAGAGTAGTCATTTGGAAATATCTCATTACACTCATTCATTTTTCAGCAAACATGTTAAGCACCTACTATGTGCCAAGCAGTACTGAATAGTTGAGGTATTCCAAAGCTCACAGTGTGATGAGGCCAGGGAGGCATGTTAGCACAAAGCAACACATGTTACACTGGAACAGAAGGGTTGTTTGGGTCACACACAAGATGGAGGGGCCAACCACACAGAGTGGGAGTATCCACTTTCAGTGAGGGTTCCAGATATACATTATTTTTTCCTCTTAATATTATTATTATTATTTTAAGATTTTATTTATTTATTTGACAGAGAGATCACAAGGAGGCAGAGAGGCAGGCAGAGAGAGAGGGAAGAAGCAGACTTCCTGCTGAGCAGAGAGCCCGATGTGGGGCTCGATCCCAGGACCCTGAGACCATGACCTGAGCTGAAGGCAGAGGCGTTAACCCACTGAGCCACCCAGGTGCCCCTCCTCTAAATATTATTTCAAAAAATTTAAAATAGCTTTTATGTGTTCACCTTAAATATTACTTAAGTTTGGAAAGCTTCAGTTCCCACAAGGAAAGTAAAAATGATCAGATGACATGTAATACTATTGGGGAAATCTTAAATTGTGAAATTAAAGAGGACAAAGTAGGCAACTTAGAAAATATTTACTTCCATAGAACTAAGGTAATGACGTGGTTCTGTTAACAAATGAATTTGAAATGTTGACCTTTTCCCACCAGTATTTGTGCTCCCTTTTATATTTAAAAGTCATTTTTTTTGTTGCTGTCATTACTTTTATTAATATTTTCCCATGTTTTTATTTAAATTCTAGTTAGTTAAAATATAGTGCAACATTAGTTTCAGGTGTGAAATTTAGTGAGTGAACACTTCCACATAACACCCAGTACTCCTCACAAATGCCATCCTTAATCCCCATCACCCATTTAACCCATCCCCCCCAAGCCCATAAAAGTCAGTTTTCTATGATGGTTAGGAAGCAATAACCATGACAATAATAACTGTTATCTATTGGAAGCTTATTGTGTGCCAGGCTCAGTACTAGGCAGTTTTCCATGTATTATCTAATTTAATTCTCACAAAGCTCTATGGAATCTGTGATCATCCCCAGTTTTCTAGATGCGGTAACTGAGCCCTGAAAAGATGAAGTTAGTTGTCCAAGGTCTAAAACCAGTAAGTAGCAGTAAGTCTAACATTCTTGAACTTGCCATTAGAAGACCCTTTCTTGAACACCAGAGGCAGAAAATGCTGACTCTCTGACCTGTGTAAGGTCAAGCACTTAAATATTCAGTGTAACTATAATTGCTTTTCACATTGGTTAATGGGCAAATGGTCAAAACATTTCTCTGCTGTCTTAAGACTTGTATTTTATAAAGTATATTCATCATCTCTGAACTTCTTCTAGAAATTGAAAGTCTACACAGAGTGTTTTTGGACCCGATCTAAATATTTTAAAAATTGTGCTTCAGTGTGATTTGGTACACTATACAAAATTATTCTTCTTTAAAAAAAAAAAATTTTTTTTTAAGACTATTTGAGAGAGGTAGAGAGAGCACAAGTAGGCAGAGCAGCAGGCAGAGGGAGAGGGAGCAGCAGGCTCCCCACTGAGCAGGGAGCCGATGAGAGCCTCAATCCCAGGGCGATCCAAGCTGAGATCACAACCCAAGCTGAAGGCAGACACCTAACTGACTGAGCCACCCAGGCGCCCCCCCAAATTCTTCTTAATGACCTCAAGTTTCAAAGGATTTATAAGTTGTTTGACGAGGCACCTTATGAAATAAGGAGTATAATTCATTAGTTGAGAGTGTTATGGAGAAGACATTAACAAAAGCTATCTCTTCTGATAGAAGTAACTGAGGAAATTACCCTTCCCTACATTGAGGACAGTATATGCTATACAAGCAAATATTCTGACTGTGCATTTTCAGCAGACTTCATGGACAAGTGAAATTTCTTTCTTGTGTAAACAAACTGGTTAAACAACAACAACAAAAATAATGGGAATGAATTGGTACTCATACAATTTTATTTAAAGCTGTGTTTTTTCCCATAGGAAGTTGGAAGAGTTTTCATCACAAGAAAATACTTTTTACTAGAAATGCTTTGCACAGGGGCCTATACTTGCTGTTTTTCCCCCCCCCAGGTTACCTTTTTTTTTTTTTTTAACCCAGAGTGTTTTTTGGTGCCTGTATCTCTATAGAAGCTTCCATGACAAAATTGGGAGGAAGTCTTCAGAAAAGTAATTAGGTGACTCTTATGCATGAGACTCAAGAATGTATTAAAGCGTTGAACATCTCTACCATGGCAGCCAAGGAGAATTCAAGGTTGAGGTGCATTATTCCTCCACTATTATTTAGGCCTGGAGAACTTAGAGTACAAAAATAGAAATTTAACGAAAAATGGGAGATAGAAAAGGTGTTTCTGTAGTAACATGAATTTTGAATAATTTTCTAGCACTGAGAGAAGCTAATACTGCTTATCAGTCCAATTCAGGAATTTGAGATTTAGATTACTAATTTAATCTTCTGACTGTAAAATTCATATCAAATTTTAGGAGGATTTCAGCTCCCTTAAATTCCTTCTGGGCCAAGTTTGAAAAATAACAGTTTTAAATGTGAGAAAATAATATAGGATTTCTGCAAGTAGTAAAGGTCATCTGCTTCAATGATTATCTACTGTGCTCTATGGTTTACTTTTGTGTTGTAAAAGACAACTGAAATTATGGCAGACCACTTGGAGGCGTTTCTCTGAAGGACTGAAGAAAAAGAAAGTTCTATCTGAGTGCAATCATAAAGGAAAAAGAAAACTTTTTATTAAATAAAAATAACAATGATGGGTATTTAGAGCAATTTTAAAATAAATTCCGGACTTAGGATCATGTCTCAAGTCACATTTCAATATCAACTTCCCCAAACAAAGTATAGGCTTTGTAGTTTTATTACTTGAAAGCTGTGAGTAACTTTCTAAGAATATGAATTTACAATTAAAATGAAGTGGAGTATCCAGTCACTTAAAAAAAAAAAGGGTATTGTATGCAAATGATCTGGATAATTCTGATCACTTGTGTCAAAAATTCCTTTGCACTAAATTTCAGCAGAGTATATGGGGTTGGAAAGGCTGGAGCAACAAAAGTTTTCCTCGCTAAAAAAATTTGAGTCTGACTTATAGACTCCTCAGGAGTATTTTAAAAATAATATTTTCATACTCTGGGTGCAATTTGGACTAAATGTTTTGTACATAGTTAATAATGTAACAAATTTAATAATTACTTGAAACCACAGCCAAAATTTATTTTACATAGGATTTAAAACTGCTACTGTTAATGATGAGTTATTACTATTTTGGCTGAATTGAATTCTGTGATTAGATGTTCAAGGATGTTCTCCTTCCTCAAGAAATCTCTGTGTATAAATGCCGTACAGCCTTTGGGAGACAGCTTTGATTCTACTATACACGTTAAAGAAATAGCTGAGTCAGCAGCTTGCATAGTAAAATTTATGATTATATAATTCCTTTTCACGGTCCAACATTGGAAAACATTAAATCTGTGGGAAGCAAAGAGAACTGAAAGATGTCTAAAATAGCTAGACACTGTCAAATTCAGAATCCTATTTGTGTAGTCGTAATATATGCAGGGAAATACTTCTAGCAAGACTTAAACTATCATTTGACCTTCACTAACCATACTTTCCAACAGGGGATGGCAGTTTTCTGAGACTATGCTTTTGACCTTGAAGATACAACTTCATGTTTTATGTCTCTTGGCAAACTTATAATGCCTCTTGTCCCCAAACTGAGTTCATCTAAAATTAATATCATCATATGTTTAAACTGTTTAGGTCTAAAATAATTCTTATTTTAATTATTCAGCATCCAAGGGCAAAGAGAGATGCTGCAGCTCCTTTAAAACTCTATTCTTATTGCATAAGTCTCTCAGCTTTCCTAATGCAGGATGTCCCTCATCTGAAGCTGGGACTGAGGAAACAGCTGCATTGTACTGCATGCAGTCTCCAATCTTGCTACAGCTCTCAGCCTTAGGATTCAGCTGAGCTGGATAGAAATATGCAGGAGCAATATATTGGTCCGTGGGAAACGGAAGCTTTACCAGAGGAGATGGTCACAAGGTGAGTTACTCTCCTGAACCTTAGCTTGTCTATCTTTCATTTTCACACTGTGTTTCTTAATGATTACTCTCACAGAAATGACCCTACATCCTAAGTTTCACTTCCTCTGTCTCCCCGCTCTTGCTTACATTTAAATAAACTTTATGCCCTGCATTCTACTTAGAAGACAGCCACTGTGCTAAAAAGCCTTGAACAATGGCATCGACCCCCTGCAGCTGGACATTCTTAAGCCATTCCACTTTGATCGTCCTCAATTCTTAGCCGTACTGAAATGCAACGGCAGTCAAACGCCCGCGGAGAGCGTGTTCACCAATTAACAGAAAGGAAAAGAAAAAGTCAATGCAGCAGAACTAAAATTCAGAAGCACCAACCAAGCATCCCAACTCCAAGGAACTTGCAATTAATTTGACTTTCATAAGAGAACGTGTGTTTTCTTACCTTGGATGTGAATCACTCTGTCATGATCTAGAGTGTAGTTGTCTGAATGATGATCAGCCCAGCAGATTGAAATCAGCACCAGAAGAAGTAGCCTCTTCATCTTTATAACCCAGGGAATCTTCCTCACTGCGAGAGCATCACATACAAAGAGGCTTGTGAGATTTGGAACCCTTTGGAGTGTTGCACTGCACTTCTTATTACCGCCTTATCATCAGAGAATGGGTCTGTAAAAATATTTAACCCAATCTGTTCAGAAAGTTACTGTAGCTGTCTTTGGGAGCTGAAGACTGCAGCTTTGAACAATTCTAGTTTCCCTTATGTAGCCAGAGTCCAAATCGTGTTTAACTCTATCTTTGCAGAATTCTAAATCTAGAAATTTACATCAGTATTGTTCTGGTATGAAGAATTATAGTTGGTTACAAAAAGATATGGCAATGATGCAGAAGGACTTTGAAAATATTTAAATCTCTGAATTGGAAGTATTACTTAACAAAACAACCATTTGATATATGTATATAGGAGTAATCCCCAGTCTAATTAGGAACTGAATCTTAAACTGGGGCAAATAATATTTGCTTGGAAGTTGACATCCTCATTCATTTTACATGTGGCTTCCTAAGCAGGTTAGATTTGCTTGTTCTAAATAAAAAAAAAAAAAAAAAGAAAAAAAAAAAATCCCTGGTGTGAAGCAAAAGCAGCACATTTATTCGAGATTCACTTACCATCTTAAACCTGACTTGGGTCGATAGTGAAGAGTTGAAAACGAGGGACCAACTAGGTTAGAGTTGTGCATGCTACCACTGCAGTCATCCTGATTGATTTTTCATTCATTTCTACCTAAAATGCTGACACACCAACTTCGAGTGCCAGGTAGGGTCTCTGCAGCCGGCGGAGGCACGGCTGGCTGCAGGGCACGTCCTTGCCAGCCTCCAGGGGAATGAGGCAGATGAAGACCAGAACCGGACAGCAAAGCACAGCTCCAGTCCTGAGTCAAAGAGGCAGAGCCCTCGTTTGGCTGTCCTTTATCGCAAGACCAATTTGAGAAAAGGAGACATGGTCCCCCCCAAATTTTGTCATCTGAAGGACTCCAAGTGATGGGAACCCCATGACCTTGGCCGTATTTGTCAGGCAAGAATCTCAGGGCCGCTCCTCTGTTTTACCGTGAAAGCTGAGGCAAATATTAACAAGGGTTTTCTTTTTCTCTCATGCACACAGCAGCCTTAACAACACTTGGCTATTTTTAAAACTGAAATTGCACAGTACTGGCTTCTCACACTAATTTGTTTTTTCCAGGAAAGACTGGCTCTCTGGAATACTTATTAAAGAGCTCTGAGTCTGTTCCTGGAGGTCCTTGCAGGCCCGCCTAGACTCGGGAGCCCGATGATAACATGAGTCACGGGCGTCCCCTGTCTCTTGGGGGATGGAGGCACCTCCCTGCATTCACCCCACTAAAACTTGGCATTGTTGGGTGCCTATGGCTTCAGTCGTTCATGTTAGCGTTACTCCTTTTTTTCTCTTCCTTGTCTCACAGAAAGAACATGTAGATGAGCAAATGAAGAAACTCACTTTTCTGGGAAACTGAGAGTGTCACCTTCAAAATCCTACCTGACTTGCTAATCTTATGTTGTGACGTGCACTTGCTTGTTCCTTCGAGGGCTTTTGGGAAATGAATTTTTTTTTGAAGTTATAGATGTTTGTTTATAGAAATATTACTTACAAATATTACCAGTTTTTAGCCCAGAATTGCACTTTGGGTGAATAAACATAATAAAGGTGATCTTCTGGAATTTGGGGTGTAATTGGGGTGGCAATTATCTACACAAACAGAAAGCAATGGGCAAACCAGAGCAAGAGGTGTGGTTATGGCGCTCTCTGCTTGTCGCAGGAATCAAAGGAAAGGGAAATGTGGAAGAGAGTGTGAGGAGAGCATACGATTTCAGCAGTTAAAGAAAGGAGAAGTTCTAAGTGAGGGATCTGAAGAACAGAGGTGGAGAAGTTGCTATGTTAATTTTACCATTTGTGTGGTCATTTACAGCATAATTTACATACACATAATTTACATATACACCCATACACACACACGCCCACTTTTAGACTTGTGCATCCTACCACTACAGTCATCCTGATTTTTATTCACTTTTACTCAAAATATATTATTCACAAATTTATATATCTCCTTTAATTCCATACCATATGTAGTATTTTTTTTTTAAAGATTTTATTTATTTGATAGACAAAGATCACAAGTAGGCAGAGAGGCAGGCAGGGGTGGGGGTTGGAGGGGGGAAGCAGGCTCCCCACTGAGCAGAGAGCCCAATGTGGGACTCGATCCCAGGACCCTGAGATCATGACCTGAGCGGAAGGCAGAGGCTTTAACACACTGAGCCACCCAGGCACCCCCATGCCATATGTAGTATGAAAAGTGATATCACCAAGGGTTCATCCCATTGAATTAATGTATTAACTGTCCAAGGACTCAGTTTTTAATTGCAAATATCCCAGGTGGTGTGGGGGGGCTAAATAATAATTCTAACAGCGGTTCCTTTTAATTGAAAGTCGATTTGCCAATGCTATGCTAAGCATGGTGCCTATGATGGCTCATGCAATCCTTGAGACCGTGAGACCAAAACTTCCATATTTCCTGATACAGTTACCTTGCTGAAGGTCACATACCTAGTAAGCAGTAAAGTTTGTATTCGCTTTCAAACAAAAGCAACACCTACTTTAAGTTACACTGACTTTTCTGAAAGCGAAGCTTAATGTGTTCTTTGTTTAATTGCCTTGTTTATTTAGGCTCTTTAACTTGAACCTACTATGGTCTCTAAACCATAACTTGTGTTATAGGTGAATATACACTTTTTGCCCCTAGACTTAACATGGGAGAAGTGAGATGGTATTTTCTTTAACATGACTGTGCCCTGCCTCATTTCTACTCATCTATAATACCATCGGGTGCCATGAACACTGCCTTGGTGGCTCAGATGTGCACACAAAGGCACACACACTCCGTCATCATCATCTTCAATTTAAAAAGCATATTGCAGGGGCGCCTGGGTGGCTCAGGGGTTAAGCCTCTGCCTTCGGCCCAGGTCATGAGCTTGGGTTCCTGGGATTGAGCCCCACAACGGGCTCTCTGCTCGGAAGGGAGCCTGATTCTCCCCTCTCTCTGCCTGCCTCTCTGCCCACTTGTGATCTCTATCAAATAAATAAATTAAATCTTTTTTTTTTTTTTTAAAGCATATTGCACACCTTCAGTGATTTGTGATTAGAATAGAGACGCATGTCGGTTTGTGCTTCCTAGCACCCTGCCTGGCACTCAGGCACCCATGATACAAGAGACTGGGAGTTATCTTTGCTACCCTGGCAGTGGAGCGACTGTCTTACCAAAAGAGGTAAAACTAGACAAACAAACCCTGGGGACACAATCTTCATTGTTTAAGCAAACAGCAGGACAATGGAGGTACTGCATCTAGATGGAGGTTCGAGGACAAGGGCTGTGCCTGTGGTCTGCGCGCTGGGCCTCAGTGAGGGATGCCTCAGGCTTTGCGGGTGGTCGTGGGAGCGAATGAATGGAGTCCTGTTTATTTGCATTTTGTAACAACGTTTTCTCTGTGTATCCATCTACGTTAGGTAAAAATTTTTTAGTTTTTGATACAAGTAAAAATCTGGGGAATTTGGGGGACTTTCATACTACCAGTTACTACCAGCCTTGAACTAGTGCTCAGTTGAACTGCAACTCAGACTCAGATGGTCTCTTCTGCCAACCTCCCGAGCCTTGCCGCCTGAGGCCACAGCCAGGGTCACGAGCAGTTCTCGTGGAAATGGCCGTGTTCTTGGTCAAAGACCTATGATAGGACTGTAATATTACATTTCTGCTTTGGCCATAATGAAATCACTATTCAGAAGCAAGATACTGGGGCCAACATAGAAGTCTAATAGTTTGATAGAAACAAAGATATGTTCATACCAACAGTCTAATGGCAAAGTGGCCAATTGCTATTCCTTAAACACCTACTATGTTATAATTAGTGTTAAGATGGCGGCAACACTTGTGAGCACAAGGTAACATGTAGACTTGTCAGATCATATTGTACACCCGAAACTAATGTAACGTCTGTCAACTATACTTCAACTAAAAAATAAGAATAATAACATTACTGTTTTAGGTAATGGGGAACTAAGCCAAGCAGAAGGCATGTGTGCTATTTTCTGTACTGTGAGAGCTATGCCATATATTTCCTGAACAGCTTTTACATGGCTAGGCACTGCCCTGGGAGCTTCACCCATTTAATTACTATTTCTCAAAACAACCCAATTTAAGAAATATGTTATTTATTTTTAAAGATTTTATTTATTTATTTGACAGATCACAAGTAGGCAGAGAGGCAGGCAGAGAGGCAGGCAGAGGTTGCGGGGGAAGCTGAGCAGAGAGCCTCATGCGGGGCTCCATCCCAGGACCCTGGGATCATGACCTGAGCTGAAGGCAGAGACATTAACCCACTGAGCCCCCCAGGTGCCCCAAGAACTATATTATTTTTTAAAAGATTTTATTTATTTTTTTAAGGGGGGAGAGCACAAGCAGTGGGAGGGGCAGAGGAAGAAGCAGACTCCCCACTGAGCAGGGAACCAGATGTAGGACTCCATCCCTGGATCCCGGGGTCATGACTGGAGCTGAAGGCAGATGCCCAGCTGACCGAGCCACCCAGGTGCCCCGAAGAAGTATGTTATTATACACATTTTAGAATTCCAGAAATAGAGTCAGTATGGTGGCATTCCAAGGATGTAAAGCGAGGTCCTGGGGATCTGGGCAGTCTGACCCCAGAGCTTGCGCTCCTCAGCACCATTCATGGGGTGTCCCGTGTGCCCTGAGGATCGCTTTCGGCTGTCCTAGCTGATTCTGTCAGATCTCTTACAGTTCACCCAAGTCAGAATGCTGTCCCTCATGCCTCTCTCACTGGGTTATAAGTAGTAGCACTTATTATAGCGCCGTTTGCACGAGACATGTTCGAATTCAAAGTGTCAATGCTTTCCTCACTGTGTGCCCAGGACCCAGGACCTCCCTGGGCCAATAGGAAGAATGAATGGAAATCTGGACCTGGGAGAGAAACAGATGTAAGGACTAAAGCAGCCAAGACTGAGGAGAGTTTAACACTATTTCAAGAGTTACCCCTATTATTATATGGAGGATGGTGAGAGTTACTTTTTTCCTCCACTGAGGACATAATGAACGAAACCGTGTTTCCACTTAGCACTTGAAATGTAGTTTAAAAATTATAAAAATCAATGCAGAGGTTGCCCAAGATTGAGTAAGAATCTCAGTTAACAGAATTATTTTGAAATAGACTGAATCTTTTCCTCCTTGGTATCTTTTAAGTCTGATCTAGTTAGAGGTGGAAGAGGGTTCATGATCAGTGTTTCTTAACAACTGGTCAGTGGTGCGGTGCAATGAAAACAAAAATACAAAAGAAAGAGGAGAAGTGACTGCCAAAGTGCATTTCTTCACTACGTTACATTAATTCATTAAAAAATTTGGGGATTTTGTGAAGTGACTTTTTTTTAAACCTTTTTTCCAGTTAGAATGGCCTTTATTTGATGGAATTAAAAATTATAGGCTGCTCAGACTGTATATTTTTTCATGTTTAGCAATTTTTTTTTTTTTTTTTTTTTTTTAAAGAGACAGCCTCGTGCTGGCTCCTCAGGGGCTCTGCTGTTGTTGGCTTTGTTTTCTGCTTTGAGTCTCCAATCAATCTGGAGGTCACACCTCTGACCCAAATGATAGCTAAAGAATTCAGACTAACGATGCATTTGAATTGTTCAGGGTGTGGAGGGACAGTTGGTTCTTTACCTAAGCACAGGGGGGGGGAATGCAGAACTGCTTTGGAACATAGCCAGCGCTCCAGAGAGAAGCCATAACTGGAAAAAAAAATCTTTGTTCAGTGATAGGACTCCCCTCAGGGAGTGAGTCTTTGCAAACTTCAGGTGAACACAGCATTTTCCCCTGTAAACTCGCGTTGTTCTATGAAAGCACGAGCTACTGAAGAAGCTGAAGAGAATTTATGATGCCCTGCAGGAGACGGCCAGCCATAGGCCCTTTCTAATCTGGTCGTGGTCAACCTTTTGTTTTCTAGGAGCCTCATGACTCTCAGAATAATCTGCATCTTTAAAATTATGAGTTATTTCTTTTTCTTTTCTTCTTCCGTGTTTTGGAATCACCTACTTTCTTTCCATTTTCCCTCTGAATTTTCCATCGTTTTATCTTTTCTTGCTTCTCGCCATTTCTCCATTCATTGCATGCGAATCTTACCCAACCTCTCCATTTTTCTCTCCACTTTTCTCTTCTTCCTATGTTTTATAATATTTATCACATTAGTTGATATCTGACACAATCCTATGATTTATCATCTAAACCAGGGCAGAGAGGGAACAGGAGAACTATTTCTAGCTCTCCTAGGCAGATGGGGAGATAAGGTGTTTGCGTAAGGGAGGAAGGAGAGAATTTCATTTCCGTCCTGGCTTGCTTTTTTCTAGTTGTGTGATCCTGACAGAAGTCATTCGGCTGCTTTTGGGTCATGTGTTTTTAGCCATCAATTGGAATAGTCAATGACAAATGTCAATGTCTCATACACATTAGTTCATTAGTTACTATTGTTATTATGTGATTTTTTTCTTACCAAAGTGTTTAGACCCTCTATTCTACTCATATTGCTTTTTAGGACTGTCCTTCTAGGCAAATAAATTCATGGATTTTAAAGGGATAATATTCAGTAATGCTTGTTGAAATAGTGGTTCAATTCACTTACTCTTTTTGGCTGGCTATTCTTTGCCAGCTCTCTCTTTTTCTCTCTCTCAGAGAATATTGATGGAGTTAGGGAGAAACTCAGCATCCTTTCATTTAATTACAGTGCGTTTGTTCATTAACCCAACCGTACCTGCTTTAAATAATTCCAGAGATGAGAGTTAAATTCCCCCAAACCAGTTTTATGAAAGGATTCTGCAGTGGTTTAGTTTATAAGTTTTCCAAAACAAATTGAAAAAAGGTGTACATGAATAAAAGTACGACTTGTGTGTGGTGTTCCATATAGTGTTCAATTCTGCAAACTTTTGTTGAATACCTGGGGTGTGCGGGGGGGAAGCAGTGCGTACATATATTAACAAGAGTAGGGCCTTTCCTTGTTTCCAAGGAACAGTCTAGCATTGCTGGATGAATAATGAATGGAGTACATACAGCAGGATTCTGACCCTTCTAGGCTGCAAACTGTCTAAAACCCTAACCTTAAAGTGATGCTTAGAAGTTGCGAACATGTCACTCAAAATTTATTTGTTTGCAATACCTTCACTTAGAATTGTGTTCTCTACCCCAGCTTATGCTGAGGTGGGGGATGCATTTCTAGGCATAAGGAAGATAGTATTATATACTTATTTTCTATCTTATTTCACTCATTTTTCTACTATGAAAACAGTAAGCAGAGTGAACTAGGCCTCTCCAATTTTGTGGTGTGTCCTCTTCAGCCAGGAATCTCTTAAAAGGAGATAATACCACTGGACAGGTAGTTGTCAAAATTCACTCCTATGACAGGAAGGAAAGAATGTAAGTTGTAATTCTTGTAAAAGAGGGCTTTCTTGTCATTGTGTGTTCTTAGTGACTTTTGTGTGTAGCCACATCATACAGGTGGGAGAGCGGGTGTACGCAGACATTACATTCTGACATTACATACCAAAAATGTCTCTTTCGCTGTGCATTTACCTGGGCGGTCAGTAAGACTCTCCTCTCTGGTCACTCAGGATATCACTGACTTGCTCTCAGTATATTCCAGTATTCTCATGCGAACTCTAGTGGATAATTCACAATATATTGGAGACAAAAACTGGTACAATAGGTGGATGAGAAGATATATGTTCAAAGTTCTTGAGCGTAGTAGAAATCGCTCCAGTAGTTTGGTGTATTTCTGCCAGCTCTGTCTAGACACTATCTGCAGGGCTTCTTACCATCTACTCAAAAAGCTTTTCAGTTACGTGAGAATTCTACGTTTTCAAGGTTGGGCAGGAACCTGGCTTCTACAATTAACAGGGTATTTCTTAACCGGATAGTTGTTAGTAGAGGAAGTCGATAAATAAGTTGTTAATGTATCAGCAATAAATGCATTTTGATGATGACAGTAATATTAAGAGAACATCAATTTCTTCCCTTCTATTTATCTTTGGAGAATGTATCCTACTTTTTGCTGCCCTGAAAACCATAGTCTTACCCTAGAACATTAAAAATGTACTATCATCAGCATGAATATTATATTGCTATGCTCTTATAAGTGTATCCTTCATGGAATACAGAAGAAAATATTCATTTTCTATCATTATACATAAAGAAAATGGTTAAAAAAAATCAAACCACGTCATGAAAATTTCTTAAAAGATAATTAAATCAGTCAGAATAGAAATTATCAATGTGGCCACTTCTCAGGCTCTCAGTTTCTTTACATTTTAACATGCTCAGTGCTGCCACAGTGTGTTGGCATTATAACAATGACCGGATTGTGGGACTAATAAGTCCATATGGTAGAAGTAATTTTGACTAAAATAAAAGTTTCACTAAAATTTTCTTCATTTCTTCTGGCCTAGAGTAATTTCCTCCCAAACCAGCAATAAAGCGTGTGTGTGTGTGTGTGTGTGTGTGTGTGTGTGTATACTAGCATCATTCTGGGGGAAGAAAGTTTCCTCTAAAAGTGAATAAGCATGCTCTAAAGACTATTCTTGCTTGACCTACTTGTGTAAGAAAGACCTTATTTCCTTATTTTATTATTTATTCTTTGATTCCATGATCAAAAATCTCAGTAGTGTCAACAACAAAGCATTATATTGAGTAATATAAAATTAAACTTCAAAATATTTTTTCTTAATGTATAAAATCAAATGACTTATTGTCATTATCAATAATAATAAATGATTTCTGAACACTTAACAAGGAATTTGGCACTAAATTAAGAACTCTGCAAAGGTAGACGAATTCCCTAGTGAATTGCAATTCAAATAGAACTTAAGCACATGTATTTAAAAGAGACTGAAAGGCCCCCTTCAACCAAAAATGTATAGTAAACAGGTTTTTCTGAGACACTATAACAGAATGAATATATACATATAAAAGAATATTAAGAGCTTAGGTTGTTAACTCATTCTTTCCCTAACAAATAACAAATCCCAAAACAGACTACAGCAAATAAAATAAAACTTCTATTTTTTTAAAATTACTCATTGACATCATTCTAAAATGGAAAATAACTATCTTCTTTATATTTTAATGTGCAAATATGAACAAAATTGACAAGTGAGAGGACTGCTTTTAAATGTGGGTTATGTAAAAATGAGTTTAGAGTTGAGGGCACACGCCTTCAACTAAACGAATGCAAAGCTCTACAGGCATTATAATTTGAAATAAAGGTTTTTAAATAAAATATTTAGAAGTAGGGTTTGAGTAAAAAACTTCATAACATCACTTTAAACTGTTTTTGAAAGTATTTCTAATTGAGCTAGCAAAACAATATTTTAAGTCTTTAATTCACAATTTTAGCATTTCTTTAAAAGTTCAAAATTCCAACAGCTCCCAGGTAAACATTATATTAACACTGGATCTAAAAATACCACTGCAAATCATCTACAAGACAGCTTTGGTGGCATCACAGATGCAACAGTAACAAGCTTTCTACATAACACAAAATCCAACTCTAAACTCACCACTGGACCCCCCATGTAATTCTAAACCAGTTGACAAACAATAAGAATCAGGTAACTCACATACATTTTATACGGTGATCAGACTCTGAGAAGGTGTAGAAAGATTTTAAACATATGTCAATTCTGATTTTTTTTAACGAAATGCAAGGAACAGTTTTATGATCGATGATTTATTGAGGTATTTGGTTCTACTAAGTCATGATAAAAACAAAAAAAATCCATTAATGTTTGTTAGCAGCAGAAACTTCTGTCTCTTCTGGGCTTGGTGCAAACTCCACCTCTTTTGGCTGTCACTGTTAAGATCTCTTCCAAGACCCTGAAGCAAATTTACGATTGGTTCACATCCTACGTCAAAGCATGATCCTCATCAGAATTCAGTTCCTTGGCTTATGAGTAACAAAGCCTGTTCTAGTCCAAAAGGCTGTGTCTACACAGCACAAAGAAGGAAAATATAATACTCTCCAATTAACTTGGCAGATATCAACAGCTAAGCTCATTAAATTAAGTTTCAAAATTGGTTTTATGAAGTGAGATACAGCCCAAGAATTCACCTTGGTAGGTTTTTAAGTTACAGTGATCTTTGAAAGTGTTTTATAAGCTTTTAAAATGAAATAATCCTCATTTACATCTTCTTTAGCTGAGCTATTTGTTTATTCTGAAAACAACTAATACCATTTAATCAACCTTCTTTACAGGCACTGAACCTCTGATTTACTTAATCACTTAGAAATGACTACTCTAGATCCAAAGATATCTACATAATTTGTAACTTTCTTTTGTAAATAATAATGCCATTTAATACTTTTGAGATATATAAGTGTTAGGTTTGTCTTTCACTCAAAACCAAATAACCATCTACATGTACAAAACCTAAAAATATGGGCGGTATTCTTACAAGAAGTAGAGAAAGTATGTACACCTAAATCTCAAAGGTTTTCCAATCCTTGAACACCATAAGTTACCACCCCCACCCTTCCCAAAAACCCTTCCTTTCAACCAGGCTCCAATTTCCCACCACTAGAGTTACCAACACTAAGTCCGCCAAAGTCTTTTCCATTCAAATGTGACCATGGCTTTGTAAATTTTCAAGAGAGTCTCAAGTCCATACTAGTGAGAGCAGTGTAGAGGTACCATTGCTCCTGGTTGCGTTCTGTCAAAGTTCAAAGGAAAGGAGCAACAATAAAAACTACCTTTTCTTCCATAATTTTCATAGAAAGCAATGATTATTCCATGAACATAAAAGATCCAAATTTTCATCACTGCTGAGCAAGGTAGAGTTGAGGATGATTTGTGTAGTAATGACCTTTGAATATTCTCTTTCACCTTATGAACTTTAGCAGGTACGCAGATGTTTTTATACCTGGTGATGAAATGTAATTCTGAGAGTATAGTACCTAGAAAGCAAGAGAAATGGTTGTATTGCACAACTCTTCAAAAAAGAAACTGCTATCCAAAAACCGCACATACACCTCTCACACACAGCTCTCAGACACTGCAGTCAGACACTGGTAATAACTGCACACCTAAAAATAATTTGTAGTGAAAATAATTTGTAGCATATACCAAGAGAGCCACTAAAGATACGAACGTCATGGGAAATAAAATGTCACTGGCTGGTTCAGAGACTGGCTTCTAAAAAAACATGCAAAAGGGCAAAAGCCCCTACTGCTGAGAAGCACTCAGAAGAGAAAAGGAGAGAACAAAGCCCAGGAGGAGCAAGAGAGGCATGGGGGAACTGGGTGAGAGAGAGAGAAAAAGAGGAAAGAGAGGGGTAGGAGGAGGGGGGAGGATGGGAGGAGAAGGGGGAAGGAAAACACGGCAGCTGGGAAGAGCAGAAGGAGTGTCCCTTTGTGCTAATGGACACCTAAAAAGGCAGCCAGCAGCAACAGTCCCTGGAAATGGGAGAAATGACTTGAACGACAGAAATCACAACAAAGAAAAACCCACCCCAGATAGGCAAAGTGAACAATCTGAGCGGCTTCGGGGAGGGAAAACCCAGCCTTATGCAGCTTAAGGGCCCCCGAATTACGTCCTGTACCACATTTAGCCACAATTCAAGTAATTATCCACTGAGCACCACTTATGCAAGTAGAAATAAGGCTTCAGATCCCAAAGCAGTCACCCTTCAGGGTGGCTGCGAAGGAGTAGAACAGAGCGGAATGCTAAGTGCATGGAGACATACTCTGGAGACCGCTGGAGAAGGGGGAGGGCCTCCCCAGTACGCCATGCGAATGGTACCCTCCGAGGTTGTGCATTGCAGCAGCCTTGGCAGGCACCTCGACCAGCCTGGGAGGGGATGGGAATGGTTTTACAAAGGAGATGATGGCTCAGCTGGATGGGCAAGACAAGGAGATAGAGAAGAGGGCAACAGATACCGTTGTCTATCAGGATAGCATGTGCCAAGGAAATGAGCCGGGGAGGCCCTGGGCGACTGTGTGGCGGCACACAGCTCCACGTGACTGCCAAGGAGGAGGAGACTCACGATGATGACGTGAAAAGCTGGGGCCGAGTTAGACAGGCAGCTAGTCCAGGGACCAGAAGGCCTTGCGCGTCGCGCTCCTTTGCACTTTTTCTGATGCTAGCAGGTCTTTTAAACAACGCTTCATCACCACCACCATCAGTTGTTTACCTTATCTTTACGTATCTCAAAATAATACCCTAAAAATATAACTGAGAACCCATTACAAAGAAGGATTGTCTTAATCGTGTCATGTATACTCTATTTAGTAAGGAAGACGGCCAATGTTTTACAAAAGTAAAATGTAAAAATTTCAAAATATATCAGGCTCACTTTTAATTTTGGATTTTCACTTACTCTTCAGAAATGCCAGATTAAATAGATATTGCTGTATGTTCAGCATCACTGTAATCACAGAACACACCAAAAATTTAGTACATTTTCATATTGGGCTCTGTGAAAAGACTGCCAACTAGTTTAAAGTAGTTCTAGGAATATTGTATGGGATTCAAGAGCAGAAACCAAGCCCTGACGTGGGTGCATAACTACTGGAATACAGGTTCCAAAAGGTAGAATCTATGTACCACGATATCCTCTGGGACCCACTAGGAGCTCAGGAAATTGGTTTTGTGCCGTGCACTGCAGAGTGAACGGTAACCCCTGGTGTTGTACAGTATGCAATCTGTGCAACCCTATGCTGTAGCCCTCTACATATTTGACATATGACACAAAAGTTACCTCTTGAACAAATCATCACATTTCACATGAATGAAGGAAACACTCATATAATTTTCAAATGATTAATGAAACACCTCAAAGTGATTCCATGGTAATGTTACAAAAGTTTACACCTGACTGAGGATGAAAACCATCTTTTATGAGTTATGATATTTTATAAAGATACTCCTAGCATCTAGTGAGTTTTCAGTGAGTGTACAATGAAGGAATAAAGGAGATTGGCATCTCTGCCATTCTAAGCATAGCTGATACAAGGGAGAGCCAGAATTAACTAGATTGATCTGATCCTTTCCAGCCTGCCCCAACCTAGCCTGCCATGAGCAAATTTTGCACATTTGCTGCTCATCTGAAATGCCTCATCTCCTCTAACATAAAAAGACGCTTTTGGCCAAGGGCATACATCTGCCTATACTTTCCCACAAATATGTCTGCACATGTTTTTGTAGTCTGTTTGTGGGAGAACATAAAGCATAAAGGTGATTAAGGCATTGATAGGGGCTCTCGTTGCTAACTGTCCATGACCTCTACCTCCAGAGCCAATCTCTAGCCCATCTTATTGAGAGAATATTCTCACGCTGATGGAAAAGAAGTGTAGCATAAGCCACTGAAGGCTTAGCGTGAGTGGGTTGACACTTCATCAGTATATACCATTGTATGCCTTCACCCTGGTACTCTGGAGTGTCTGAAGTTGTACTACCACCAATGGCAGTGTCAAGCAAAGATTAGGGATTAAAATGTAGTCAAATATTGGGTTGGGGGAGAGAAGGAAAGAACAAGAATTTGTGACCAAATTGTCTATCTCATTTCCTCCTAGCTGCTAATTTAATATTTACTTAAGGATCGTGCCCTTTGATCCACTCCTTGCATGATGATCCAACCTCTGTCTTAAAAAGGGAAAGGCAGTGACAGGCCAGAGATGCAGTTGCTACTTGTGGTGAAAAGGTAGAAGAGGGAACAGGACAAGTCTGTCTAATATAATCACCTTAGTGAGGCTTTCTGAACTTGGCTTGTCTCTTCCTACACAGCTTCTAGAAACCTCCCTTGGCTTGAATGAGAGGCAAAGACAGTGAAATCCTCAGATTTGAATTCTTAACTGAGTTGGTAAGATCAAGAGCAGCAAGCAAATGAAAAGGCTCAGTATCATTGGACTTCAGGTGGTAATTTCTAGCAATGAATTATGAGGCCACCATGTCACCTGTTCATTCTCCTAATGCTGACTGAAAATGGGATAGTGCAAATCCGATGCCAACACAGACACATGCCCCATCCCCCACCGCACCCGGCCATTTTAGAGACTCAGCAAATGAATTTAGGAGAGGCTTTGAATCCATGTTGCGGGGCCAAAGGGTGAGAGAAGAAAGTAAAGCAGGTGGGATGCAAAGTGACACAAAACAAAAGAAGGTCATTACATTTCAAGAAATTCAAAGCAGGATAAGGCTTATTTTCTCCACATCTGGAAGGGTGTGTTGTTTTATTTTGTGTGTGTGTGTGTGTGTGGTTGTTTTTTTTTTTTTTCATTCCTGAATTTCAAGGGAAAAATTTCATTCTGTAAAAATGCCATTGGGAGGGAAAAGTTAATAGCTTAAGTAGGTTGTTTGTAAGTTAAGGTAGTTAAGGTGAAAGGCATTTTAAAATATATACAAAAGAGGAAGTGTACTTAAAAACAATGAAAGGCCTACAACATAACTGGTATAGAAAGGGCAACTGGTTATTAAAAAGAATTTTTTAAAAAACACAGGAAAAGAGACAAAGACAATGATCTCATTGAATCATTAACCTCAATGATCTTGTCAAGTCAAAATCAATTTTTAAAAACTGTAAAATTGGCAAATATTCTCTCAGTATGTAGTGAATGGCCTGAGGAGCCATCTGCTATTTCTCCCAGGGAGAGGAATAGCATGGTCCTCAGTTAAGGAACTTTTGACTGCAATTTGCATTTTTAGTGATAGTTTAGGCAGGTCTTTGTGAAATAACCCATTCAGCAAAAGCATAAATTTTGTTTAGTCATCTGCATAGACTGTATAAGTCTCCACTTACTGGCATCATATTCAAAG